CTTCATTCCCTAGCATCTTGAACCACCATCGTTCAGTGATCACCGGGAATGAGGGCACCAGACCAACTAGGTCTGAAAAGTAACTCAGATTTATCACAGCATGGCTGGAAACAAAAGCTTTGTTCCCAAGCTCACAGAACTAGCTGTGAGGCCGTGCAACCTCCCGTTCTCTAGACGTTCCAAAAATGTCTGCCTCCCGTGACAAAACCCTCACCAACTATCCCAAAGTCGAATGTATATCGCAGGACACGGATCTTCAATGTCGGTGTGTTTCTGGCCCCAGAGGACACTGATATCCACAGACATGGAAAGTTGCCCTTATGAAATTACTGCTGCATCTCAACAGTATCTCAAGTTATAAAAGCTCTTACTAATGGGAGGTAGAGGGTGGAGAGATGGCTCAGGTGTTTAAAGCACTGGCTGTTCTTTCCAGAGGACCCAGGTTCAATTCCCAGCACTCACATGACAGCTCACACTGTCTGTAGCTCCAGGGGATCTGACACCGTCACATGCAAAAAAAAATGCCAATGTACATTAAAAAAAATAGGTAATTAAAACTCTTACTTGAGCAGGAGGAACAAGGCTCCAGGGCCCAGTGCTCTGCTACCAGGGTTTTCTTGGACTCCATTCTTAGCACTAGAGGGCAAGTTCTTTCTGCCTATGGGCACCCTATAAGGTCAAGCTGAGCAGCACACTCTGGACCAGGCTTCAGTCCTTGATGCTACAACCTGGTCCTTAGTGCACGATACAGGTCTACTTAATCCTACTAAGCCCCTACTTTCTGCTCAACTATTGAGAAGTGGATGCCTTAGTCTCTGCAGGAGAGGGGCTGAGCCTGACAACATTGGATTGAATAGGTTTTAACTGGTTTTATTTCTTAAAATCCCTCCCTGAGCTGTCTGGCTGGGTCTCATTGCCAAGGTTAATTGGAGCACCGAGGTGAAATCAACCTGATGCTCTTATGAGGTCACAGAGGTGTTGCAAGCAGGAGAGCAAGGTCGCTTACGGTCCCTGAGATTCCCAGTGGAAGCCGCAACTGCCAGGTCCTTCCTCCTGGATGTGGCCTGTGCGCTAGTCCGGATCTCTGCTGCCTGGCCTTATTTTTTCCCATGAGGCGGGATATTATTGTGAATGAACTTTTTAAAGTACATCTTGTCTATTCCTGGGTTTTATCTAAAAGTTTGAGCTTAGTTTAAACTTGTAAACACAGTGGGGCTGGAGAGACAGCTCAGTGGTTAAGAACACTTTCTGCTTATACAGAGGACCTAGATTTGATTTCCAAAACCCACATCAGGCCTCTCATCACAGCCTGGAACTCCAGCTCAGGGAGATCCAGCTTCCTCTTCTGGCTTTTGTGGACACCCGCATATATGTTTACATATATACTCACACAGACATACACATATACACATAATTAATTGGATCTTTTTAAAAACAATTAGAGAAATAATGCAGAGAGCATCTAGACACACACACACACTCAGCTCCTGCCAATACCTTGTATAACCACAATGCAGTAATTAAAACCAGGGCTTACCATAGACCACCAGACTGAGCAGCCCACACCCACAGCTGTGCCTACCTTTAGCTTCTTATAGAAGCAGTCATTCTAGAATGGCCAGGCATGGAACCTCCCATCCCCCCATCTCCTTTGGTCTATGTTGGATCCGTAAACTTATATTTTGGCCAAGCTCCTTAAATGTCCTTTGGTGATCCATACAGTTCAATGTGTCAGGCAGGACCACCAGGAGAGGTAGATTTCCTCCCCAGGGAACGGGGCCCCAGTGTGTCTGGGGTCTCCCCACTGCTGAGTGAGCATTTCCCCTCCATAATTGCTCAGGGTCCTGTGGGAGACACCTCAGTGTCCTGGGGCCATGTGTATGTCTGTCACTGTCTGGAGATGTGAGGCTACCAGGACGGCTGTGTCACAGGAGAGCGGCTATTAGTGACAAGTGACCCACTGGCTTTGTGCCCTTGGAAAGGAGGGCCACCCAGCGGTGGGAGGTCATGTTGGGCACCACCCTGCAGCAGGCAGCTCAGACAGGGTACTGTAGTGGTCGGAAAGCCAGGGACACCTTGACCCAGGAATACAAAGTGAATCTTGCCGCTGGAGCTGCATTCTGCTTTGGGGAACTCACCAGAAATACAAGCCAATCTCTTCTGTCTGTGTCACTGTGAACCTTCCAGACAGCTCAGGGTGCCCAAAATGTCGGCTCTTTTTATGAGGGATCCGCACTAATCCCAAGGGAAAGCATATGCCAGAAGTAGAAGTGGCCCATGTATCGCAAGAAGAAAGCCGTTCGGCTCTCAGACTTCAGTGTCTTGTTGCCAAAGTCGGCTTGAGGAAGTCCAAGTCAGTCCCCTGCACCAGCCCAAGCTTCAGAGCTTTGGGGGCAATGGCAATTATTATACTGATTACTGTATTATTAATAATTTTACTGGTCATTGCTATATAGCGTGACCTCACTTTCGCCCAGTGTTTACAGTATGTAACTCTAAAGCCCACATGCTGCACCCCTGCAGCCACCTCATAGGGTGACACAAGGCTCATGACCAAGTCTACCCATGTAGCCTGCTCTCAGGTGAATGGTGACAGGATTTGTCTCCTCCCTCAGGCTGCAGTTCAGAGATGAAAACCTACCCCCAGGTGCATGGCTACACAAACCTTTCCCCAGATTCACTTTATTTTTAGATTGAGCTTCTCTCTGAACTATGGTTTCCCAAAAAACCAGAAAACTTACTGGGGTCAAACAGTGCCATACTGTCTAACACTCCTCACACAAGCTGAAATCAGCCCGTGGGCAATCAGTTCCCATGAAGGTACTCGATCAGGCCCATCGTTTGGATGTGAGGAAAGGTAAGGACATTGATTGGCACTGACCATGAGCCTGGAAGGGCCGGAGACCCCTGACAGCACATTCTCTCTGTAAGGAAATAACAGCTTTTCTCCGTAGAATGTAGGCCACTCACACATACGAAAAGCAGCTAACAGATGCTTGCCGAAGCAGCGTGGACAGAGAAGAGACACAAGACATGCAAAGGCTTGGCCACCTCTGGGTATTTAGCTGGGATGAAGAGCTCCAATAAGGTGCCCACCATGACTGCCAATTTGCAGCTAGGGCAGCTACTCCTAATTCTGTCAGGTACCAAAGGAGCCAACCTTGAAGAAGGGAGGCAAGGTGACAGGAAGAGCCACATACAATGTGGCTGTGGCTGTCCAGGGCAGGGCTCAGGCTAGTCCTGACCTCAGCTGTGTTTGCTATGGAAGCAGCCTCCCCTCCCCAGGGCCCAGGCAAGTTGCCATAGTAACTAAAGGCTTTAACCCTTTCCTTCCTGTGGGTTTGGTTGAATTTGGTTTTTGTCCTTAGTGTAGGTTAATTGTGTTAAGGACATGCTTCCTTGGGGTGACCCTGTACACTAATATACTCTCCTCATGTTTACCTAGCTCTCCTCCTTTCTCCTTCCACAGCCTTAACTGTCTCCTTTTTAGTTTCACGTCCTACTTTTCCTTTCTTCCACTAAGAACAAAAGCATGGATCACTTCTTCCTGTGAGACAGGCTCATTTCTTTAGTAAATGGTCTCGTGATTTCCCTATGTAGCCCAGGTTGTCCTTGAATTCATGATCCTCCTGCCTCAGTCTCCCTAGTGCTAGGATTGCATGCCACCACACCCCTAGCCTGTGATATTTTCTCCTTTACTTATCAGTTCTAGAGAAACAATGACGAGCCTATCCTACAACCCAGAACAAGCACGCTGCGCTCATCAAGATGGGCACACGTGAGCGTATGTATGAAAGTGTTCGAGTAAGGAGTACAAAGTGAACGCCCTACTTTGCATGTGTGCGAGGATGAGGTTTGCATGTGGATACATGTACATGCCTGAGTGAGTGTGTGTGGATTAGTGAGGGTGTGCATGAGTGAGTGTGAGGTTGAGTCTGGTGGGGTGTGGGTCGGGGATGTGAGTGCATGGGTGTGGGGAAGACATGTATGGGAAGAGTGTGAGTGCCGTGTTGATGTATCTAAAGGGTGTGAGTGTGTGCAGGTGTAGAAGTGTGTGTGAGTGCGTGCGTGTGAATACACGGTGCTCAGTGCCTATGCGCCCTTAGGATCCCATCCTTGCTTTCTGACATCTTGACTGCTGTCCCACAAGACCACCCTTCCGATACCCTGTCTGCCTTCTCAGCAGAGACACGAGATGTAGATCCCAAGTCCTAGAAAGGGGCCCTAGCCTCGGATGTGCTCCGCCTTTCCAGCCAGGCTAAGTTTGGACCAAGAGGTGATGATTCTGTCAAGTGTGTGTGGATCACAGTCTGAAGTGACCCGACCCACTCTCTCACATCCTACGCTACAGAAGTTTACCAGTTCTCTGTCTCCCTCTCCCTATGTCTGTCTGTCTGTCTGCCTGCCTACCCTTTTCTTTCTCTCTCCCTCTTTCTCTCTCTCCCTCCCTTCTCAGAATCTCTATTCTTCCTTCCCCATCTCTCTGTCTCTCCTTATCATGCTGTCTGTCTTTCATGCTATGATTCTATATCTCTGTCTAACTCAGTCCCCACCCTATCTATTCCTACACACAATGGCCATCCCCACGTCTCCTGGTTCTGTCCTCAAAGCTAGGAGCTAGTCTATCATTGTGAAGAGGGGCAGCAATGACACAGAAAGACACTGGGTCTTAGGTCCTCTTTAAGCACCTCCTGTCAGGTGTGAAGACCTCAGGGTAGTGGATACTGGCATCACACTTCACTGAAGCTCTTATTAGAATGAGGGACGACAGTTGTCATAGCAACCACCTAAGCCGAAGGAGTCAAATGTAAGCACAGGTATAACTGAATAGCTGTCCCCCTGCCCTCTGGTCTCCAGACCACAGCAGCCCAGGAAACACATGATATCCAAGGGCGTGGCTGCTCCGTGAGTGCACTCTTTCCTTCCTGAGCAGCTCAGCTGGACCACACAAGTATCCCTCCACATCCCAAGCTGGCCTGAAAAGAAGTATTTTTCCATACCCAGCAATGACATGCAGCAACACCTGCTCCAACTTGAGCTTCTTCGGGTGTGGAGCAGAACTGGAAGAGAGCATAGGATCTGCTTTCTATAAACAGAATATTGGTTGCTTTAAAGACTACTCCTTTGATTAGAATAACTCAGTGTTCTTTCTGATGCCCCGCTGCCACATGCCCAGCTAACACCAGGAAACAGTCAGTCCTTCCTGCTTTGGCAGATCCAGTCATCTGTCACGTGTTCTATTTCCTAGCTGCAGCTTCCACTGATTTTTAACCTGTTTTGCTGAACATAGATTTCTATTGCAAATGTACTTCCCCTCTGGACCCCAGCCCCTGGAGTCATGTGGTGTACTCCAATTGGGGCACAGTCAAGGATGGTAGACACATGCCAGTGAGTGCAGTGTTTGGGAGACAAGAATCAAGGCTGACCTGAAAGAGGGCCAGTTACAGTGGGGCTGCAGAGTGAAACCCTGTGTCAAAATAAAGTTCCCATAGGCCACTGAGGGTCTGTGTGGTAACTCCATAGTAGAGCAGGGCCTGGCAGCAGACATAGCCACAGGCCACTAAAGGTCCCAATGTGTAATATCATGGTGAGAGAGGGGCAGGGCCAGATGCACACTGGTGGCGGTACTGCAACGAGTTTGCAAGCGTGTTCAGGGCTGTGCACAGTCTGTGATTGTTACCTAGGGAACAGCATGCACAGATTATGCTGTCTGACTTCACACTGTGATCAGCCAATGTCTGATGCCACCACAGCCTTGAACCACAGGGTCTGCAAGTCCTCTGTAGAGGCTGAGAAAGAGGAAGATGGCCAGTCACCTATCATCTGACCTTGAAAGGAGACAGGCTGGCTCTCTGCTCTCCCTCAGCCATTGCCCTTAGCAGAGCATAGTCCTCACCATGATGTTCCCATGGGTGCTCGTCAGCTGGATAGCAGCCCTGTCCCTTTCCGTTGTGAGTGGGTGTGGTCTTGGAAGGCAGGAGACATCAAAGCTAAGTTGGCAGTAGCCTGTGTATTTCAGAAGCAGTAGTTGCACCTCCTTCAGCATCACTTTGGTTGAGGATGCAATGACAGCCATGGCCAGCTGGCATCTGCATCCACTCCCCACTCCACCTACTGAGGCACTTGGATGTGGTAACACACTGCAAAGACAAGGAGTGCCTTACCTGGTGACTCCTGTGCCCACCATGGCTAAGGAAGTGCCTCCCAACAACAGCAGCAAGGCTTTGCAGCCCCCAAACCCAAGGGACACCACCTAGGTCAGCAACTGAACAACTGACAAGTCTGCTTCCTGAACAGTTTCTTCGAGGCTCCCCCTGAGATGGGAAGAGGGCTTCCTCCATTCACCATTGTTTCTCACTCGTCTCTTCCCTAGGAGCAGTTTGAGTTTGCACTGACCGCCGTGGCTGAGGAGGTGAATGCTATCCTGAAAGCCCTTCCTCAGTAGGGCACTGAAGCTGGCGGGACCCTTCCACAAGTGCTACCAGGACCACAGCTGGATGCATCGTCTGTGTAGTAACAGGGTCTGTCAGTCAGTGCAGGTGGCTAGTCATGTGTGTTTGTGTTTAACCTAATAGCAGATGTATGGAAACACCTAGCTAAGAGGGAAGGACAGACCCAGCTTCTAAGTGCCACAGTCTTGACAAAGGTTCCTTTCCCCTAAAGCACACTTTTACATTTTCACATCAATGACACAGTAGTTAGAAAACCGCCGTGGCCTCAGTGGGAGAGTGCTTACATCTGTAAGTTGCTGGAGAGGGGGTGGATGGGTCAGGACAGTCAGCAAGACACCTATTGGGAACCAGTAGGTGTAGAGATGCATTAGACAGCTGCCTGTAAGACAATCTCATCATCAAAAAATCTCTGGGACGAGATCAGTGTCCTGCATCCCTAGGACATATGACAAGAGTATCATGCTGCTCTACCCAGTCCTCCTGATGGGCCCCCAGCACAGTCACTGACCATGCCTGCCCCATGTGGATCCCAAGGGCAGACCCCTTACCCCTCCTGGAGTGTGGGCACTCTATTGACTCCAGATGTTAGCTTCACCCTTGTACCCTTGCAAAGCTATAGAAGAGCCCAGCCCTGAAATGCATTTTTAATATTAGGATTCTGGTTTCTGCATTACAAGAACAGGTGCCCATAGTATGCTTTCCTTGAAGTTACAAAAGCAGAATGAGTATGGTATTTAGCAAGCTCTGAGGGTCTCCATGAGTAAGTGCTCCCCATCTGCATCACCCAGGAAGTACCCCAATGTTGCTGGCATCAGAAAAAGTCTTTGATGCTCCTACTCCTAGAAAGAAGACTAGGAAGCCCCTTTGGCTCTCCTTCCTCCACCCTTCCAGGTGACAATGAAGTGCATGCTCACTGGATGATCCAGATTGCTGAGACTTGCGCATTGCACTTCCCACCTCCCCACACAGGAAAGAAGCCACTTCAGAAAGTGCAAGGCGCTAGAACCCAGAGAGGTACAAGACATTGCTATAAGCCCCAGTTTGTGGGGTGGAGCATCAAAACACCTGTCTCTGGTGTCCCTATTGCTCCTTCCCCTTAGCCTTGACATTTCAAATTGCAGTGTGGCAAGGAAACGGGCTGCTGAGCGGGAAGCAAGGCCACAGTGTTGTCGTGTCTCGAGTTGTGCTGTATACCTAACATCTCCGACATTTCTCTTCCGAGTCATTTTCCCATCTGTAATTTAAATAATAATTAATAGAAATGAATTTATCTGAATATAGGAAACATATACCTGATTGTAACTTCTTATGTTTAAAGAAAATCCTCAGCGTGATATACAGATATATTTAATTGTGTCATATTAAAACTTCTGATTTCATATTTGATGGTCTTTTTTGGGGGAAACAAGAGCAGTTTTGACCCACTGGTTCTTTTTATTTCCTGAAGATATAAATCCAAGTGTGGTCCCTCTAGGGAGGCCAAGGGACACCTGGCTTATCTTCTGCACTAGACGCACTCCCAGGATTCTGTGTTACTGAGATTTCACTCCTTAACAGTTACTGAGAAACTGTTGATGTTCACAGCCAGGGGTCTGGGTCACCCCTAGGCCATGTTGGTATCTGAGGACCATGCTATGACCATATTGATCTGGGTGGACAGTGCTGCCACTTGGGGCCATGAAGATACATGTGGTAGTTAATGTTCTATCTAAGGAGTATCTTCCAAGCAAATTCAGAGTTGGGGAGGCAGCCATGACACTGAGAGCTGCCGCTTCCCTTTTATTCCCTGCTAGTGTTGCACAGCCTGCAGAAGAATGAGGGTGTGAACAGTAGCCTGCTGGTGCTTCAGAGTTCCCAGTTTCTAAGGCAATGAATCTAAGGACATAATAGTGGCTTCAGAGTACTGTGCTCAGTCCTGGGGCTATCAGCTTTATTCCATTTATGGACTCTGCTTCCAGACACTAAGGATGGAGCAAGCATTCCTTGTGAGTGCACTTCACTCCATTAGCCAAGTCTCCTGCACCTGTGCCTGGTTTGCCAGCATTTGATCCTGGTTCTCCACGACTTCCTCCTGTAACTGTCTCTCTTCTTAGGGTTGGGCCAGGTTGACTTCATGCTCCCTGACTTGTGAATATTCTGTTCTTAGAGCTCTGCAATATTAGTTTTACACAATGGATTCTCTCTGAACTAAAAGGAGAGAAAATCCCTCCTCTCTGCTACTGTCCCTTCTTTCTAGAGATTGTTGTCTCACCAAGAGCACAGACATGGGATTTGCAGGACTTCCACACTTGCCCTTAGAGTGGCACTACCAACCCCTTCCGACTATGGCCATTGATGAGGTTTCTGCTTCCCTCCCCTGCCAAGGAGCTCCGAGGGGAAGCTGGTGCCACCTTTGCCATGTATTGCCAGTTTTTCCTGTAAGGTCCTCATGCTCTTTCACTCTTTGGAATAGGGTCATTCTTTCTTATCCTGGATCCTCTTCTTCACCAAGTCACATAGAAACAGCTTATTTCTTAATCTGCCATTTTATTTTGGATTTCTTTTTATCTGTGTCATGACTATTTTAGCCTAAAATAAGGAAAACAATGAATGTCAAATGAGTCCATCCAGGCATCCCTGAACAAAGCCCACAACATAAGAAATCTAGTGTTCACTTCCTAAGCTTCCATTGCAGCTGCTTGCCGCCTGCTCTGGTCAACATGTCCCTTTTGGACCGTCCACTCTGATCATGCATCATTACCTCCCAGCAGTTCAACTTTTATGGTATCATAAACTGTGTCTTAGCTACGTTCCTATTGAGACAAACACCAATGTTGGGATCATCTTTTGTACACTGTATGAAGATATATATGTCTCTTTCCTTCTTCACCTGCCTGATTGATTTAATAAAGAACTGAATGGCCAAAGTTAGGCAGGATAGGATAGGTGGGACTTCTAAGTGAAGATGGGAACTCTGGGAAAGAATCTGTGGTACGGGAGATTCACCAGACAGACATGGAGGACATTGAATGGACAGTGTGGAGGAGAGGTAACAAGCCACGTGGCAGAACATAGATCAATATAAGTTTTAAGTGCTGTTTAAGAACAAGCCCAAGCTAAGGCCATACTTTCAAAATTAATAAGAAGTCTCTGTGTCACTCAGGAGCTGGAGGTCTAAAGAAAGACCTGCTATACACCATGGCCAATGCAATTTATAAGAGAAAGGGTTCAATTGGGCTTATGGTTTCAAAAGATTAGAGACCAGAACTTTAATGATTCTTGCTGGACATCTGCAATAAAGCTTTTTTTTTTCTTCAAAACTTAGTGCTGTGAGCGCTAGTGTCAATGCAGCAAACCCCTGCTTAACATGCTGAGCATTCCTTGTGCGCATTGATATAATTTTATCAATGAATATAGCTTAATGTCTAATAATAGCTGTATCTAACAACCAGCCTACAAAATCCCTGAAAGTGCAGCAATCTGCACAATGATGTGACCCAGATTCGCCCTCCCTCCTCCGGACCTGTGCTGGTTAGTTTTTCTTGATCAACTCAACACAAGCTAGTAGGGAACCTCAATTGAAAAACTGCCTTCAGGATGAGTTCCAGGACAGGCTCCAAAACTATGCAGAGAAAAAGTACCTTCACCAGACTGGCCTGTAGTCAAGTCTGTGAAACATTTCCCTGATAATGATTAAAATGGGAGGGCCCATCCCATGAGGGCCCAGAGATGTATAAGGATAGTTGAATGTGAGCTGCAAACCTGGGTGCAGGCCAGCAAAGTGTTCCTCCACCATCTCGGCTTCAGTTCCTTTAAAGCCCTTGCACTGATTCCCCTCAATGATGAATTTCAGGGTAGCTGGTGTAAGCCAAATAATCTTTTCTTCCACAAGTTGCTTTGGGTCAGTGTTTTCATCACAATAGAAAGCAAATTAATCCAAATCCTACAGCCAGGAGAATGGGGCCAGCTTTTCCTCCCGGGACAGTGAAGTCACGTTGGAAGCTGGTAAGTAGTCAGCACTTCAAGACTGCAGGGCTAAATCCTAAGACTGCAGTGAAGCTTTCTTTAAAAAACTATTAACATTCTTGGGGAAATGGTTGTGTACACTTCTGCCAAAGCTAAAGTCTGAAGTGGTGTTGGGATGGATTGGAGTGGATTTCCTTGAAGATATATCCCATTCACACATGAGCGTGTAAGCATGCACACACATGCCCTAAAGATGTCTACCTGCCTCTTCTGAGCCTTGTGACTAAGGTTCAGTAAGCTCTAAACCTGTCCCTACAGGGTCACACTTGACTCTGTTGCCACTGCTCTACCTATACCAGAAGCTGCAAGCTCTCCTAGACAAGTTTACTTTCAGTCTTGCAACCTGCCAGGTAGAAGCTTTCCCACCCTCTGGCTGCCCAATGTCACTCCCAGGCCTGGGCAGCAGCTACAACCCCACTGGCGGCAAAGCAGTCTCTCCCTGTGTTTGCCCCATGACATCAGGACTCTGGGGCACAGTGCCCAAGATACAAGAATATGGGGTGTCTTTGAGGACAGAAACTTTCTTAGTGAGCTAGGGTCTCAGGAACCACCAAGCCACTCTGAACAGTTCTTATCTTTCAAATTCAAAGACTTCACAGACAATGGAGGGAGAGTCGTAAACAGAGGCTTGTTAAAGTCATAGGTGGGGGCTCAAGAGAGGAGGAAAGAGGTGCCCACTGAGGAGACAGCGAAGACAGAAAACAGAACTCTGCTCTGGCCTCCACCAAGAACATTCCAACTGCTGTTCTCCCAGACTCCCTGCTCTCATCAGCCGGTTTCTGTCTCCTGTTCTGTCACTGCCACAGCCCTTGCTGCTGAGCAAAGCATCTTCCTGGAGACTGTGAGTTCACAGCACAGCGCTCTTCCTCACCCTCCTCAGGTCTGCAGGAGACCCACCACTAGGATATGGGTTAGGGAGTTCCCTCCTGAAACCTGGGGCATAAGCTGACACTAAATGTTCTGTCCAGACAGCACAAAGGGATTGGGGCGCTGTGCTAGGAGGCTTTGCTTTTGTCTCACAAATTGAATGATTTAAAATTTCTTATTATTTTTTTCTTGAGAGTGTAATATAATTACATCATTTCCTTCTCCCTTTCCTTCCACCCTCCAAGTCCTTCCATAACTCCCTCCTTGCTCTCCTTCACATTTTAAAAACTGGCTCATGCTCCCTTTCCCCTCCCCCTCCCCCTCTGGCTTCTCCTGCTTTAGCATTTAAACACATGCAGAAGCCACCCGGATACTCCCCATGGGAACTGAGAGTAATATTATAGGTAATCTGTGTTTTGTGCTTTATTAATCAAGTAGAACGCTAATAAAAATACCTCTTTATAATTAGTGGAGTAGGCACTAATTCAAAGATGTTTATTGGAATAGAAAATTAGAATTTGATTACACCTTTGCTCCTGAACAATGACCGGCTCTCGCTTACCTTGCTGTTTGTTTAGAAGTTGGTCTTAGATGTTTATGTTGCTCCATTTATTAAACAAACCAGATGGTTTGTGTCATTTGTTTTTAGTTGAATGTGTTGATAAAAATGCTACAGAGGTTTCTCTGGACATGTGGCAATTTCCCTGCATTCTGGCCTCTGCTCTCTTCCTGGGAGGATCCTGTCACTGCTGGGCCATGGACGCGCACCTTTCCGGTCCACACAGGAGCGTGTCCCCTGGAGTGCAGGCACAGGCTGTGATGGAGACCTTCTGCATCCTTCCCCAGCCTCAGCTGTGCTGGAGCCCCGGTGCAGCGTCAGCCACTCTCGATGCTATCAGTGCTGGTGGCAGCTGGTGGCTTAGGACGCTCCGGCTGACAGCTAGTCTCTAAAGATTTACTGTTCCCAGGATGCAGCCGTCACAGGCACTGGGATATGGAAGGAGGTAGGAGCCTCAGAAGATAGGCCGCCATTGCTTCTGAGGAAAGGCTGGGCCTCAGGAGAGCCCAGCGGGTGGGAATCATTTCTGGGTCTCCGATTCGAGGAAACAAAGCAGGAGCAAGCTGTCTGTCATCTCCATCCACCCCATAAATGCTCACAGCCCTGCCGTGCTACCTCCCTGGTTCTTCCGTGTCATCTTAAGCAGAAGTCTTTAAACTCTATAGTCTCTCCCCTTTCTCTCCACCCCACCACCGCACCACCATCTGACTCCCACTTCCTCCCTCCAATAAGATGTCAAGGCCTTTCCTGTCTCCTTATATTGATGGAAGCCTTTTACACAGCAAAATTAGGTTTGCTGTTGGGGTTTGCAGATATGGTGATCCATGCCTGTTATCCCAGCACTTGAGATGTAGCGGTCTGATAAGGAATTCAAAGCCAACCTGAACATGAAACTCTGTCTCAAACAACCAATAATGTTTTGGTTTAGAATGTTTGAAAGCCTGCCCACCACTTGTGTTTGGTCCCAGGATTGGTGTTTCCCCAGAACTGAGGGTTCCCCAGGATTGGGGATTCCTCAATAAAGCTGGATGCCCATCACAAAGGTCAGAAGTCACAGGTTCCTGCATTGCCCTTAAAACAAAGAAAAACAAAAACACACTGTGGCTAGGGTGTTAGTCACCGGCAATGGCATTACCTCTGGCTCCAAATGGCAAACCCATGATCGGTATAGATGGAGCACTGGTCCTTCCCACTGTCCTCCTGTGGGCCACTTGACGGAGCTGTCCAGTGCTGAGCTTCCTGTGGCTTGGTGAGGCTCCAAGACTCCTCCTAGCTCACTCTTGATTGCCGGCACCATTGGTCTGGTACAAGTCCTGTATACTGCCACAGCCTGGCCCCAGAAGCATGAAACCTTCACCCCATGTAGTCCATTTCTCCTGTGAGTAGCTGTGGAGAGCAGTGGGAAATCCGGCGGAAGGGAAAGGAGAATGCCTGACTGTGGCCAGCTTAGAACTCTTCTAGCACTTTCTAGGGTGCCTCCAGAGGCCTCAAGAAAGGCAGGGCATGGAGCACAACCTGGCTCCAGCCTCTCTGTACCCCGGGGACTTGCCATGACTTCCCACCATCACAGTAATCACATCCTCTGCCCTGAGCCTCCAGCCCACAGCATCCCAACAACCTGCAGTGGGTGGGAGGGGTGCGGGGAGGGGCGTCCGCCTTCTCCAGCCCTTCTCTCCCTCCTCACAGCGCTCAGCTCTCATACCACACTGGCTTTGCCACAGGCTTGCAACACACACAGCCATCTGCAGCAGCTTGAGTCTTCTTGAGCCCTCACGTGGGTGGAGCGGGGATTCTTGACTTCACCTCAGAAAAGCAATTCAGGGTGAGCCAGCGTGAAGCAGAGCTGGAGTTCCTGCGAAGGAGACGGCGTGGGATCATCAGCTTGAAAGACTCCAGGGGAAAAATAAGACACCCGGATGAGCAGGGGTGGTCTCCTTAAGAGAGGCACTGTGTTGTCTTTACAGCAGCCGTACATACGAGTTGGTGACTCTACAGTTACAACTCAAGGGTTTAATAAAGGGTTGTTTTGTTTTAACGAGGCTATCGTGTGGTTCTGGAGATCTCTTGGATAGGATCACACTCTGTAAGGTCACAAAGGTTGATAGGGGTGGAGGGGGGGCTAAGAAGTGTCTGTTATGAGGCTACTTGTGAGATACCTAGAAAATTATGGGTTTAACCTCAGAGGGTAAAAGGCCATATCCACTTAAAAGTCATTGTTCATTGCTGCTTTACCTAAAAGAATGTTGTCTCTTTGTAGGCACCTCCAGAACCAACAGTTAATTGCTGGAATCCTTGACCCTCAGCTGACAGGAAAATTCAACCAGAACTCCTTCTCTGGGCCCTCTCTTTTGTGCCATCTGGCAACTGGTGGAGCATGGGGTGCCAGGGGTCAGGAGGACCACACCCATTGGAAGGTGCTTCAGAAAAGGGCATACCTAGGATTCTGGGGATAACAAGGGTTCCTGGGAGGTACAATCTCTGCTCCTCACCCAACTTCTCAGGAGACTGTCTTGAAACTCCATAATGCCACATGGTCTTTGCGGCCACTCACCAACTGCCTGATGCACGCACACACTTCCCACCTGAACCAGTACAGTAGCGACTTCTTGGAGAGCAATGTGGCCTCTGAGGAAGCAATCCCCATAGGCCCCCTGCAAACCCAGATCCCTGAAGCCCCATGTCTCTTCAGAGGTCTCTGACATGTGCTTTCCAGCTGACCTACCACTGTCTCTTCTCTTTCTCCTAGCACCTGGAAGGCCCACTCTTTTCCGGGAAGGAGAGCTGTAGGCAGAGAGGCAGAGCTACCTGCCCAAAATCCCAAAACCACAGACCCAACCAGAATCATGGATGCTTATCCATGGGTCCATTATGGCCAGTGGAACAAGCAGATGTGCAATATTCAAATGATATTGTACAAAGAAGGAATGAAGACCCTGTTTGGTGAGGAAGGAAGATGCCATGTGTCAGATACAGTGCGAGGAATGAGGCAGCAGATGGCTTGTGTGAGAAAGGGGTGCACACATGGACTCTCATGACAGGCCACATCCACATACAGTGTGAAAAAGGGGGTGCACACATGGACTCTCATGACAGGCCACATCCACACACAGTGTGAGAAAGGGTGTGCACACATGGACTCTCATGACAGACCACATCCACACACAGTGTGAGAAAGGGGGGTGCACAATGGACTCTCATGACAGGCCACATCCACACACAGTGTGAGATCAAGTCTGCCCGTGAACTAGCCCTTTTCTTATTCACGGTCTTTTACCTGCTGTGCACCACTGCATATTTCCATTGAAAATGAAAAGGAGAGACTGAATTATCCAAGAAAGGAGTAGATACCATGGAGAGGGTCTGTGGGGAGTGTAAAGTCAGTGCATCCTCTTCAGTCTGACTACAGCTGTTCTGGGCAACTCACCCTGGGAAAGGGATCCCAAGTCACTGGGGGCTCCATGCAACTCTTTGGAGAATTGTGGGTTTGAAACCAATTGATGCCTTCAGACTCCAAGTGGTATCACGCATGTCTCTAAAGGAAAGTGGAGGTACATGCACAAACACACACACACACACAAACGTGCTCACAGGTGTGCCTCAGTCCATATCACCCTGATGACCTGAGCCTGATTCCTGGAAGAAGAAAACCAACTCCTGACTTCCTTATACTATGGTTCATTCACGCATGCACGCACACACACACATGCACACACAGACACACACACAAAATGTATTTTTAAAAATTATTTCAAAAGAACCATCCAGGAGCTGGAGAGATGGCTCAGTGGTTAAGAGCACTGGTTGCTTTTATAGAGGACCTGGGTTTGGTTTCCAGCACCATACTGTGGCTTATAACTGTAACTCCACTTCCAGAGGCTCCGTACCCCTCAGAACATGACTAGTGCAGACAGCAGCCAGATATGCACATGGTATACATACATACAGGCATACAAACACTCATAAACATAAAATAAAATAAATCTTTTAAAAATGTTTTAAAGAGTCATACTTGGGGCACACTTTTAACTCTAGCTCTCAGAAGGAAAAGGCAGGTAGATCTCTGCGGCTTTGGGTCCCACCTAATCTACATAGGGAGTTTTAGGCCATCCAGGACTCTATAGTGAGACCCTGTGTCAAAAAAAAACTAACAGGGGCATTCAGCCCCTGCCACCATGAGATAAGCAGAGTGCCCTCCATGGCTGTTGAGGGATTCAGCTCCCAGAGCCCTGCTATGAGCGAGAGGTCATGCTCCACATGTGGGCCCCATGCAGGAAAGGAACGGTAGAGTTTGCAACATGCCATTTGTAATTCAAACTATCATCTTTTTCCTGGATCCTGAGATCATTGCAACCTCCATTTAGTACAAGTTCTAGTTCATCAAGAGTCTGGAAGTAGCTTCTCCTTATACAGGTGCTGCTTCTGCCAAAGCTTATCTGTATCCAAACTGTGTTTTGAATAAACCTAGCCACTCAATAGTCCGAATTATTTTTCTTTTTACTACCACCAAGTCACAGTCGGAGGTCACCCGTCCATCCCTGGAAGCTGGCAGAATCTCAGTCTACAGCCCTACCTGCGCCCTGAGCCAATTATCTGATGACCCCAGGTCATTCTCCCTGTCCACTTCCAGGCCTAGGCCACTATGTCTCATGCAAACTTCCGATCTGTAAAACGGGAGCTGAGAAGGCCAGAGGCAGGCTTTTTGCTTGCCCAGCCACAGAATGGGGTGAATGCACTGGTGATCTCTGAACCATTCCGCCTGCTCCATGGTATCCCTCCAATCCACGAAAGAGGCGACAAAAGAATACTGCTATGTGAAGCGGCCACCTGTGGGTAGGGGACAGGTGAGGCCTGGAGAGGGCTGGGCCTGGAGAAGAATCCTTACAGAGGGAGAGGGGACCAGATAACCACGGGCTTGGGGAGTCATTCTCTTTCTGCACGCTCTACAAATGGATTTCAGGAGAAAGAATACGGGTATAGCGAGAAGACAAAGCACTTGTCTTGAGCCCAGCAGACAACAGTTAGAGGTCACAGAACCTCAGGGAGAGGTAAGTCACCTCAGGAAGACACAGGTCACCTCAGAGAAACAAGTCCCCTCAGGAAGACATAGGTCGCCTCAGAAAACAATAGGTCACGTTACCTCAAGGAGAGATAGGTCATCTTGGGGAAACATAAGTCATCTCAGGAAGACACAGGTTGCCTCAGAGAAACATAGGTCACCTGAGGAAGACACAGGTTGCCTCAGAGAAACATAGGTCACCTGAGGAAGACACAGGTTGCCTCAGAGAAACATAGGTCTCCTGAGGAAGACACAGGTTGCCTCAGAGAAACAGGTCACCTGAGGAAGACACAGGTTGCCTCAGAGAAACATAAGTTACCTCAGAGAAACATAGGTCATGTCACCTCAAGGAGAGATGGGTCATCTTGGGGAAACATGTCACCTCAGGAAGACATAGGTCACCTCAGAGAGACACAGGCCACCTCAGGGAGACTCAGTTCACCTCATATAGACACAAGTCACCTTCAGGAGACACAGGTCACATCAGGGAGACACAGGTCACCTCAGAGAGACACAGCTTACCTCAGGAAGATAAGGGCTATCTCAGGGAGACACAGGTCAACTCAGAGAGCTACAGGTCACCTCAGGGAGACATGGATCATCTCAAAAACATACATGTCATTTTAGAGAGATATAGGCCAGTCACCTCAGAGAATTATAGGTCACCCTAGGGATACACAGGTTATCTCAGGTTATAACAGTCATGTCAGGGAGGCACAGGTCACCTCAGGAAGACAATGGTCACCACAAGGAGACAAAAGTCACACAGGGAAGGGTGCACAGGTTACTCAGGGAAATGTGGGTCACTGTAGAAAGATACAGATCACAGCTGACTGAAGACAGGAATTGACTGGGAAACAGGGCAGGAGGAGAAATGTGGTGTCAGACGTACCTTAGTGGGCATCTGATGTCGAGGGTCCAAGTGGGTTGACGCAATGATCCCCTCTATAAATTCCACACAACTTAGGGATGAGCATAATTCTTCCATACAGTTTCATCAGGATACAAGATACCTTTCGAACACAGCAGCTTCTATAGTCCCATATGTAAGGATGATAAGCAACCATCCATCTACAGGCTGATGCCCACCTACGCCATAATAACCTCAGAGTAGACTATCTTAGCTGGCCGCCAGAGTAGTCACTGCTTACTGTCAAGCCCACCAGGGCCCCCGGGGGCAGGAGCTACCATTCTTTAAGAGTCCAGTCACAGGCAGTGGTGATGCGCGCCTTTAATCACAGCACTCGGGAGGCAGAGGAAGGTAGATCTCTGGAGGCCAGCCTGGTCCATAAAGCAAGTTCCAGGACAGCCAGAATGTCTACACAGAGAAACCCCGTCTTGATAAGCAAAACAAGCAAACAACAACAAAATCAATCACTGTCACAGTGACAGCAGTTGTGAAAAGCTCAGATTTCATATAAAAACCAGCTGTTAAAACTGTGCAGGTGACAAAGGGCAGGGATGATCGCTCAGCCTGTGAATACAAGTGCCCACGGAGAAAATTGGAGAGGGTTTCATTTGCAGTCAACAAACACTTGCGGACAGAGAGAGAGCAGCGCCAAGCAGAAGGTAGACCATATGCTGTCAGAGCCTTCATCTCTGGAAGAGCAAAACAGCTCAAGGTGACTCAAGAGTTTTCCATGAGAGGCCTGGCCTTCCTGCATAGAAATGGAGGAAGAGCGGATGGGGAGGAGCAGGGGAGGGACTGGGAGGGGAGGAGGAACTGTGATCGGGATGTAAATAATGATGATGATGACGACAATTCCTTTAAAAACAAAGAGTTTTACATGATTTCCCTCGGCTTTTCCTGTTGGTCTCTATACTTTGCTACTAGCCCCGCATTTCGGGACCTTTAGGAGAGGTGCAGACACGTCCATGTGTGTTCATATGTGGGTACCTGCTGTCGGTGTCAGCTGAGAGTCGGTGAGACCCAGGAGAGCCTCCTGTCTGCCTCCCACCCACAGTTACAGATGTGTGCTATGGCCAGCTCAGGGCCTCATGCTTACGTCTGACCGTATCTCCCACACTTTTTCTGTTTTTCCTTTCAGACTTTTTGAGACTGAATGCTGTCTCGTAGCCCAGGTGCTTGAGAATACTTAAACTTGTGAGGACAAAACAGGAGCTAAGTGCTGGTTTTGCTGTTTCACAGTTTTACAGATAAGAAAACCTCCATATCTGTATAATGGGAACAGGAAAAAAAAATCACCTGCCTTCTTAAAAACTACTTTTGAATTTTTAAAAATATTTTACTTTAATTTTTTAAAAATTTAATGTAAATTAAAAATAAAAATTTTTTAAAGTATGAGAAAGAAAGGAAAAAGAGCCCAGGTTGTTACTTGTTACACAATTCTGTGGCAGCTAATTCAAAACAGATGGGTACCAAAGAGAAAATCTCAATCTCCCTGCCTTTCCTGTCCTCCCTTCCTCACAACCCAACTCTGTCATAGAGCTCGCCAGAAGGAAACAGAATTCTCACATTAGCTGAAGTCACCAGTGTGCCTCCTCCACATCTGAGAGGTTAGGCACGTGGAACCAGTCACTCCTCAGACAAAAGATGGAAAAGACAACCCTGCGGGGACAGACCAGTCCCCACCAGCTTTCACACAAGTAGTGCCCAGGGTGGTGGCCTCTGGGGACAGCAAATGACCACGAGCCAGAGGTCAGCAGCCCTCACAAATCACCCCACTTAACGAGGCCACACAATATACCAGCAAGCAGGTGCCTTGTGCCTTCAGTTCCTGTTAGAGCCCATGGGCCCCAAAATAGATAACTATTTTCCCCAACTGGACTGGTACAGAGCCACAAGGAATAATCAGACACAACTTACAAGGTCACCGTGGAAAGGCATCTCAGTCTTCTTCCTCCTGAAGGTCTTCCCCATTTATTCTCCAAACAGCTTTTATACCAACACATAAATTGAGCAGGAAAATACACCAGACCTGTGTCCTAGGTAACCAGGTGAATGGCGTTTTGTCACGTCCGCATCTACCTGTCTGCTATGTATGCTAGCTGTCACTTAGGCTTGAATCAGCATCTCTATAAGGCATCCTCCAAATTACAAAGAAAGGAGCAACAACTTCCCGACCTTTTGTTAGGCAGAGACAGCCTGTCTGCAGGGCTACATGACCACCTCAGATGGGGCCTATGGCTTTAGCGCCTGGCTGCCACACCATATAGAAATATGGGCCAACAAGTTCCTTGCCTTTTCGGACAGGGATGGGGCAGGATGCATCAACCACGGAGCCAAAAGGCCAGGTGTTCCTACCACCACCCCTCAAGGCACTATGTGTTCACAATCTGCCGAGGGTACCCTCTCACTGCAGGCAGAGCCAGCCTCCCCAGGAAAGAAACAGTGACCATGTATTACCTGTCCACTCCAGGAGGAACAGTTACTCACGGACCACATTCCTTCTTGTCTGAGAGCAAAAGTGTCTTTTGGTTTGGGAACTAAAAGTCGCCTTTTATAAGTGCTTGTTTTAGAATCGTTAGCTAAAATTAGACCCTTGCTCAGCAGCCTTCTTTAGGCTGAGTCACTCTTAACTCTACCATATAATAAATCAGATTAATTTAAAAATATTTGTCACTTCCTTCCATAGTGCACTGGCGGTTTTCTGTGTTATCGTGACACAAGCTACAGTCATCAGAGAGGAAGGAGCCTGAGTTGAGAAAATGCCACCATGACACCTGGCTGTAGGGCATTTTCTCAATTAGTGATCAGTGCGGGAGGGCCCAGCTTATGGTAGGTGGTGCCATCCCTGGGCTGGCTGTCCTGGGTTCTATAAGAAAGTAGGCTGAGGAAGCCAGGGGGAGTAAGTAAGCAGGACCCTCCATGGGATCTGCATCAGTTTCTGCCTTCAGAGTCCTGCCCTGCTTGAGTTCCTGTCCTGACTTCCTTAGTGATGAGCAGTGATGTGGAACTGGGAGTCGCGCAAACCCTTCCTTCCTAGCTTGTTTTTTTTTTTTTTTTTTTTTTGGAATGGGGTTTCATCACAGCAACAGAAACCCTAACGAAGACAGACAGAAAACTCTTAGTGGTGACACTGAAACCCTGAGGTTTCTTACTTGTGCTGGGCAATAAACTGAGCAGAGTCTCTGGATAGAGAGGAGACACAAGGGAGCCTGGCTGAGAAGTGAGACTTGCATGCTGACAAGGAGCAGGACCAGTAGACATTAGTGAGGACATCCAACAGGCCAGACAAAGAAGTTCCTCCAAATTTAAAAGTCAACAAGACCCACAGTTTGTACTGCACCACCAGCCTGTATCCTGGTTGGTAGCCATGATACCTCAGCAGTACACAGAATGTGTTCAACAAGACAGACCCCATGTTGGGCTAAAGTTCAGTCTCGGTTAAGTTCGAAGTATTTAAATGAGGATGTTGAGCTGGGTGATTTTCAACACCTGTGATGTCAAATATACGATGAAGTTGGTGGCTATAGTATGGAGGACTCCAGGGAGAAAGACCCCTGGTCCCCTGGACAGCTAAGGGTAGAGGATCGAATCATCTGAAAGAAAGTGAGCCAGAGCGACCTGAGGGTCTCTCTTGTGACTCTGTGATATTGCTTCGTACTTTACGCCAAAACCTCTGTCGATACACCAGCAACCTTGAAAGGCAAGAGGTGTGATTCCTGTTTGGTATGACGAGAAATACTTGGGAGGCGAACAGTTGTCTTCCTTCACCGTCAGTCTCCTTCCTTGCAACTGTGATAAACACTGACTGTGAGCCTTAGCTTTGTAGGAAGAAATAAAAGAAAAGCATTTAAACTTACCTCAGCAGTCCGAGCAGGTTCTAACCACCTGAGAAGTGGCATCTCCAGATCTGGCCGCCATGACCAAGGCATGGGAGCCAGCCACACAATGACTGCAGTTCCAGAGGATACAGGTCCCATGCTTTAAGTCAGAGAGTTTGTAGCTGAGGACAGAAAAGGGTAAAGGGGATCTCATTGCGGGTAGAATAGAGGTGTTAGCTGTTTTCTGCTGTGGAATAACCTTTTTCTACACTGTGAAGATGTGTCACTCAAATTGGTTTAATAGAAGCTAAATGTCCAATGACTAGGGAAGCTTTCCAGACAGAAAGGATGCTGGGAAGAAGAAAGCCAAGTTGCCGGCCAGACATGGAGGAAGCAGGAAGGATACAGTATCTAGATGAGGTAAACGAGTTTTGGAGCAAGAGCTAGCTAAAAACAAACCTAAGCTATTGGCTGAACGTTCATAATAACTAATGTCCCCATGTCCTAATCTGGGAGCTGAATGGCAGGACAGAGAAAAACTCACTACAGTTTTCCTTGGATAGGCTGCATTTGAACCTGTGAGGTCTATCCTCTCTTTACAACCACTGGGTATCTTGTGTTCAGTTTGATACTTTTCCTCTGTAATCCCCAAATAGCTGCCCCCCTCCCCCCGCCCAGAACTCTGAGCTCAGTTTAGGCCTTAGCTTTGTGGGGGGGGGGGGAGGCAGGTACTTTACTGGCCAAAGGAAACTTAGAGAGGTTACAGTCCACCACGTAAGGAATCAAGGGGGAAACTCAAGACAGGAACCCGGAAGCAAGAACTGATGGCATGAAGGAACACTACCTATGACGTATGCCCCTGGACTTGCTCACCTTGCTTTCCTAGACAACCTAGGACTGCTTGCCCAGGAGTAGCACCTCTCACAATGGTCTGGGCCCCCCTACATCAATCGTTAATAAAGAAAATGTCCCATAAGGATGCCCACAAGTCAATCTGGCAGAAGCACTTTCTCAACTGAGTTCACCTCTACCCAGGTAATTCTAGTTTGTGCCAAGTTGACAAAAATTAAATAGCAACCAGCCCCATGTGGCAGACAGAAGCCAGGCTTCCATCCCTGTGATCTCAGGCTCAGATGATGGAGCACGGTTTGTCTTACATTTTATACTACAATGACTTATATTCATAGATCCTTGGATGCCCTGGGTTGATAAGAGAGTGCTTTCCAAGTGCAGATACCCAGCACTATGTACACAAGAGATGTTTAAGTCAGCAGGAAGCCTGCAGTCTAAATAGCACCACCAGTACAGACCTCCAACCCATGTGGGCTAAATGAAGAAAATGATGATTAAATACTGTGCATTTTTATAGAAGGCTGTTGGCCTCAAATCACATATCTAAAGCCAAATATGAGTGATGATGGCCCAGGAACACTGATTCATGTTGCCCCAAATACCAAATTCCAATGCAGTAACCATTTCATTAATTTTTTATAGCAACAGACCAAAACTATATACTGAGGCACTTTCCAAATACATTAATAGAAACATCACATTCACAGGTTACAGTGAAGCAGGGAAATCCTTGCAATGTCTTCAGATGCTGTCTGACTGCCTTGGAGTTGGTGGAATACAGTGTTGCTTTATTAGCAATTCTGTCTTAGCTATAAGACAGAACACCACGGCCAAGGAAACTTATGAAAGAAAATGTTTACTTGGGAACTTACTCACAGTTTCAGAGGATGTGCACATGACAACCATGGTGAGGAGCATGGCAGCAGGCAGACATGGCACTGGAGCAGGATCTTACAGCATACAGGCTAAGACACAACCATGAGACAGAAGACAGGGGTTGGGGATGCAAGGGGTGTGTAACTGGGAATCGCAGGGCTTTTTAAACCTCAGAGTTCACACTTTCTCTACCAAGGCCACACTCTCTAATCCTTCCCAAACCATTCCACCAATGTGGAGCAAGCATTCAAATATATTAGCCTATGAGGTCATTCTCATTCAGATCAGCACAGCATCCTAAAAAGATCTAACCAAAGAGTTCAAGGAAAGATGTTAGGTTAAACAGAAATGGATAACTGATGGTATTAAAAAAACTAAAGATGGCCAAGGATAATTTGGCTGTGGCTCTATAACATTCCAACTCTCCACCCTTGCTAAAAACAGGAAATAAAAACTGGTTAGACAGACTTAAGGAAGTTCTGTCCCTCTCCCAAAGGCAATAGTCTTATAGATGTCTTTATTATCTGGACAGAAAGGCAAGAAGGGAGCTGTTGTCTTCTAAATGAGAACCTCATGCCTGGTGCCTATACTTGAAGGAGCCACTGAAACTCTAAGCCAGACATTAATTCCCTCTAGAGAACACCTTTAAACTTGTATCTCTGGATTTTTACTGTAAAAATTACTTATATTTATTCCCAAATTTCAGCCCATTTCCTAAATGAATGTTACAGTTCATTGGAGGACCATTAAGAGAAAATCATGTCCTTATGGTCCTAAAATACCCTATCTGGTCTGATAGAGTATCAGAATGGAGAGGTGATGTGGGAGTGATATCTTATTAATAAAGAAACTGCCTAAGCCCCTTGATAGGCCAACCCTTAGGTGGGTGGAGTAAACAGAAGAGGATACTGGGAAAAAGAAGCTGAGTCAGGGAGTCCCATGGTTCTCCCACTCCAGACAGACGCAGGTTAAGATCCTCCTTGATAAGCCACCTCGTGGGCTACACAGAATATTAGAAACGGGTTAAAACAATATGTAAGAGCTAGCCAATAAGAGGCTACAGATAACGGGCCAGGCAGTGTTTAAAAAAATACAGTTTCAGTGTAATTATTTCGGGCATAAGCTAGCCATGTGGGCGGCCGGGTGCCAGGGACGCAGCCCCGCCGCTCTTAATTCAACAGAGAGGTAACATTACAAGCTATCACAAGTTAAGAGTTAAGTCAGTTAGGCCAATCAACAGCCTAGTTGAGGGACTGTCCTTCAGAAAAGTGGATTCATCTTACACTGCACTAAAAAGGTGGGAGGAATAATTATCCCTCTGAGGAAATGAGTTCCTACCGAGTGTGGTCACTTTCAGAGTTAAGCCATGTGACTTAGTGAAGCCTGTTGGCATCTCTGAATTAGAGAAGCACAACTTTTTCTTTTCCTTCTTTTATACATTTTTCTTTCTCACAGATACTGGACAAAGTCTGGGCATGCTTTCCCAGACACTCTGGGCTTTCTTGCTTTTCTTATGAGCTATTCTCCAAGGCTCTTCTCTTATGTGAGTGTTTGCCAACAACCCACATCTCCTTCACTGGAGGCTCCCACCCCTCTGCACCTGCCCACTTAGCCTCCTGCCTCAGCCCTGGGCTGCAGGAATTGTTCCCCCACTGCACTCTCCCCACTTGTCTTCCCCCCTGACTTATACATTTAAGAGTTCTTCTCCAATTGCTAAAAGTCTAAGAAAGTTGATGGTATGACTTACAAGACAAAGCCCCACCATCAGTCACAAGGAGCAACTAAACTAGACAGGGGCTTTGGGCATCTGGGCTCCACAAGCCCTACCTCAGGTCCAATTCATTATTCCTCAGAAACGAATCTTTGTTTGACCTTCAGCTTCAAATGTTTTTTTATCTGGGGCTGTACAAATGACTTGGTGGTTAAGAGTACTTGTTCCTCTTGCAAAGAACCCAGTTTCAGTTTCCGACGCCCACATCAAGTGGCTCACAAATACCTGTAACTCCAGTCCCAGGGTATCTGATGCCCAGTGGGTACCTGAATGCACATGGCACACATAACCCCACGCACATAGACACACTTAAAGTTTTTTTTTTTTTGACACAACAGGACTGATGCACATAGAAACTTCCAGAGTCTGTGGCGGCACGCACAGGACCTGCACAGGTCTAAAGATGGTGTCCCAGAAATGAGAGGGGAAGTGGACACAAACCCCAGCCCTAACCCAGAAGCCATCTCCAACTGATAGTCCTTCTCACAATCTCAAGAAAGATTGGTTTTGGGCTGGAGAGATGGCTCAGTGGTTAAGAGCATTGCCTGCTCTTCCAAAGGTCCTGAGTTCAATTCCTGGCAACCACATGGTGGCTCACAACCATCTGTAAAGAGGTCTGGTGCCCTTTTCTGGCTGCAGACATACACACAGACAGAATATTGTATATATAATAAATAAATAAATATTTTTTAAAAAAGAAAGATTGTTTTTTTTTTTCAATGGACTCTCACTGGTGATACAAACCACACTTAGGGCAGGCCCCACGCCCATCAGTAGAAGACAAACACAAAACAAAAGCAATTAAGAGCACTGCCTGCTCTTCCAAAGGTCCTGAGTTCAATTCCCAGCAACCACATGGTGACTCACAATCACCTGTAATGAGATCTGGTGCCCTCTTGAGGAAGAGATCTGGTCAGTCATCCTCATCAACTTAGACCATGAAACCCAATATGGACAAATTCAGTAGAACCACCATTTAAGGCCTGCCCCTTAAATTGCCAGGACATAAATTTCATTCATTTTTTATTCATTTGTCTCATAATCCTTTGTCCAAACTTTTTTACAGGTCTTTTGTTTATATATTATGTTTTTTGGTTTTGTGTTCATGGATTTTCGTGTATGTGAAGAAGAATGTCTCTGCATTTGTATATGTTTTTTGTGCTTTTTCTTGGGCTGGTTTTTTTGGTGTTTTTGTTTGATTTTATTCTATATTAAATTTTTAGATGCCTGATTGTTTTCTAATGAGAGAGAAAGAGAAAGAAAGGGTATGGATTTACTTAGGTAGGAAAGATCTGGGATTAGTTGGGAAGGGGAGACCATAATCAGAATGTGTTATATGCAAAAAGTCTATTTTCAATTAAAAATTTCTTAAAGAATTAAAAAATAAAGACAAAGGTCTGCATGCCTTACCTTTAAAACATAAATTTGGTCTGTACTGCTGTATTCTGTTTTTTTCTGATTGCTGCTACATCAGTCCCTTTGTTTCCTGGTGCTGAAGGTTGTCCCAAGGCAGTCTGGGGATGAGAACACAGTTTGTGACATTGTTTCCTTGAGAAATACACCCAGAATTCCAAATATCAGTGAGTCAGTGCACTTTCTTCAGGGAATAAAATTTTAATTCTGTAGACACCTGAGAGGCATGTGTAGCAATTCCCTAAGCTCCTTTGACACACAGATGAAAAAGATGTCTCAGATCCCTCAGGGTAGCGGTGTGTGCTGGTAAAGATGGGAGGACCCCCTACTGAACCAGCCAAGTCCTCTCCACCTGCCCCCTCCCATAACTCCTCCAACACAGCCGAGCTCTCAGGACCAGAGACTGCTCCCCTGTTGATGAGTTTCTAAAATACATCTGGAATTGGAGCACGATAGTCTAACGCTCGGATCAGTGAGCAGTCACTCTTGGGAAGTCCTCAGAGAGGCCACAAGGCAGGTTTCCCAAGTGTCCTTGAACTAGAGCAGCAAGCTGTACCTCACACACCCCACCATGAGCAGCAGGACCCAGACAAGAGGGTGTCAGCGTGGGAAGTGAGTCAATGAAATGTGTGTGAGCAGAGAGAAGGAATCATTGGGGGGAGGGCGGTCCTAGTACTGCTCAGTGTTTCCCTGATGTTGTTCTCTTCTGCCTCAGTGGACCTCTCTGCACCCTGTTCTCCACAGCAGTCACTGGCCAGTGAACGCACACCATTGCCAGAGTGTGTCTTCAGACGGAGCTACACTCTTCTCTCCGCCTGATTCCCACGGCAGGCCTCTTCCCAGGGCATCTCCACCTAACCTTTCCTTCACCATCAACCCACATCCTAGCTTGGGTGCCTGACCTTTCTCTCTGTACCCACCTCCATCTTCTCACTCTCCAAGTCTGGGGTCTTGGCTGCCCTTACCCCTGAGTCTCCCTCTCCACCCCCAGGCTCCTCATCAAGGACACTAGGGGGAATTCTGAGGTTTTTCCCTGGCCTTCTGAAGTCACCTCAGTTTCAGCCATTCACAATCCTCACCCACAGTCACCAGTTCCTTTGTAGGCCTCTGGTGTCACTTCAACCCACCTGCAACTTCTGCTGCTGAGACAAAAGAGTGAGGGCCTACTCAACTTGGCCAACCACCCCCCACCAGGTCCACTGGGAGCCACAGAACCCGACTCTCCTTGACTATTATGATTACAGCCGAGTTCTCTCTAATCTAGGCAAACCTGAACCAGCTCACACTCAGGTATGGCAGCCTCAGCTTCCTGGCCAACATGGTACAAGCACCAGGATCACTAAGACCACTGTACAAATCTCTGACAGCACTGCCTGGTACCTGAGGACACATTTCCAAACTCGACTCCATCATGAAGGATGGTAGGGTTTGATATGCCTCTGCCTCCTGATGTCTTTTCGATCTTGAAAATCAGGGTAGTCAGTAAGTGGCAGAACATGGGGACCAACACCCCCTTCCCTCGTGAGCACAGGCATTCCACCTTTGCATTATTATTCATATCCCTCCTTGTTCGAAGAGCCGAGGCAACTTTGATCAAAACTTCACAGATTCTCTTTCCAGGACTCTTGCATTAGCAAGGAGATCCAGAGGCTTAAAATTATAAATTCATTCTTTCCGTCAACAAATATTCATCCTGCTCTAAGCGCTGGGACAAAAGACTCAGAGTTCCACACCCAAAGGCCTCATCATGCTCAGGAAGCCAGATCTGATTCCAGCAGGGTCAGATAGAAGTCATGGCACCTGCTGGGTACAGCGCCCGGCTGCGATTCTGGGCCTTTCTTGAAAAGAGAGCTGTTGAAGGGACACACTTGATCATGTCAACCTGTTCCTGCCTGTGACCAATCCTAGCAACATCTTTTCAAAGATGGTTTTCCATCCCCACTTCAACTCCTTAGTGGTTTTTGTTTGTGTTTTTTTGTTTTGTTTTTTTTTTTTTTTAAGAAAAGCCAGCCTACTAGATGACTGCGGAGGTGTCTACCCTCAGGAGCCCAGTGACCCTGGTGACTCGGGGTCGTCTCTCCGGGACTCACTCTGGGTGACTCGGGGTCATCTCTCTGGGACTCACCCTGGGAAGCAAAAGAAAAGGAGGCTTGAGATGGTGCTTGCTGCTTCCAAGATCTAAATGTTTAAAGAGACGCCCTAACAGCTGAAGGCAGCAGAGCAACCCTTGGCCTCATTTTGAGCATTTAAAGATGAAGGAAAGATCACATGGACCCACAAGTGCAGAGCTGAGGGATGAAACTGCTCAGAGTCACCTTCAGGGCGCCACTACTCCAGGCAGCACCACGCCATTCAGTGATCACTTACAAGCATGGTGAAGGAAATGTGGTTGGGAGATCCAGCCATCGGAGCAAAGGCCCCAGAGAAGGTCAGGGAGGCTAGGGCCAGAGAGGGAACAGAGAAGGCCGGTACAAGAGGAAACCGCCAGGCAGAAGACCTTTCAGACAGAGAAAACAATGAGGACACACAGGGCCTCACTGAGGGGTGTCTGAGCTGGGGGGAGGGGATGTAACCAAGGTACTGGGGTAGCCTCTGTGGCTGAGATGAGATGGTAGCACCCACAGGCTCTAGTTGGTGGTACTGTTTGGGGAAGTTATGGAACATTTAGTGTGAGGAGCCTTGTTAGAGGATATACACAAATAAATTAAAAGTAATAAAAAATAAGTTTCAAAGACAATAACACTGTGGGTACAAAAAAGCTGTTTCATGCTAAAAGTTCTCATCTTCTCAGCCTATCTATATTTGCCATTCCTTTCTTTGGTTTATACTGTTTTTCATAGCATCTGCCCTTGAGAAAGTCCTTGCGGGTTTGGAGGTTTATAGCTTTGTGTTCCATTTCCTAATTTCTTTCTCTGTTTCCTGTGTGTGGATAAAATGTCAGTCAGTTTCCCTCTCCGTCCCCATGCTTTCCCGGACTGTGGCCACACCTTCCCCCATAGAATCCGTTTTCCTGGAACTTTAAGCCAGAGTAAACTCTTCTTTCCTTTGCTTCTGTCATGATGTTTTAGCCCAGCAGCGTAAAAGGAACAAGTATGGTGCCTTGCTCTGGAATACTCTGTCTGTAGTTGTTCATTTCCTCCACTGTGAGAAAGTATCTGTGAAGGAGTAGCTTTATAAACAAGACAGGTGTGTAGAGCCTGTAGTCTGGTATCTAAGATCGGCCCCTGGTGCATGGAGCAGTGAGCATTCCTAACAGGAAACCAAACTAGGTTCAGAGTGAGTCCTTTGGCTCACTCTGGTGAGAGCTTAGGGTCCCACAGGGTAACTTAATTCCTTATGTAAACATACGCCAATGACCTAAGGACTTCCATTGCTTCCCCTAACACCACACTTGGGGGCCATACTTCCAATACAGGAAGTCTTGGAAGAGTACACTCAAATCATGTACAACTGCCTTCTTATACTCCTACGAACATGCTACTGCTGTCCCCAACCAAAAGACATGTATCGTCAACCTGTGAAAGAAATGTTTACTTCTTTCAAAAACAAAAACAAACAACAACATACCCATAGCAGTGCCAGAGAGATGACTCAGAGGGCAGAGACGCGTGCTCCTAAGCCTGAAGACCTGAGCTTACTCCTCAGGCCACATATGGCTGAAGGAACCATCTGTTGCAAGCCATCCTTTGACTCCATACAGGCACTGAGGGATGTGTGGATAACTGCACAGGCACACACACATAAACACACGCACACGCGCATAATAAAAAAACTTTTCTCAAGAACTGTGGTTGCTTATTTTTTTTTTTAACTAAACTGTTGCTGTTGCTTCATTTAAAATTTTTCATTTTCTCAACCCATATTTTCCAATCCTTTCTCCCAGTTTCTACAGTTTTCTAAAGAATCTGTCCTGGAGGGGAAAAAAGCCATGCTTATGTCCTGTCTCTTCCCTCTGCAGCCAGGTCTCAGTGGTCGGCAGTAACTCGAAGAGAGAGAGAAGGGCCAGAGCCTTGGTCAGGCCTGCTCCCACTTGCTGGACTCTGCTCGCCCGCACCCTCTCAGCTGCCTCGCCCTCTGCATCTTGCTTCTTTCTTTCATTGTCTTTTTTTCCTCAATATAATGTTTTTTGTTGGTTGTTTGGGAATTTCACATCATACGCATGATCACACTCAGTTGCCAATCACCAAGTCCAGCTTCCCACCCTTGTGACTGCCCCCTCACAAAAAATAATAAAAACAATCTCTATTTGTGTTGCCATACCCTCTCGCTGGAGCACAGCCAAACGCCCAGGGGCTCCAAACGCCCAGAGGCTCCAAATGCCCAGGGGCTCCAAACAGGAGCAGAAAACTGAGTCCTTCCCACCCACACCCCTGCCAGAAGTCACCAGTTGTGGAGAGCTACACTTCAGCATCCTTATCACAATTTTTAAGAGTTCTCTAGAACAGTTTCCTGTCTAGGCTGTTATGTTTTAGGGTTATAATGGGGTTGTGTAGGGGCTGTCACAGAAACCTTCTATGGCCCTCTTTCTCAGCTGTGGGTCTGCAGTCATCAAAGCCTACTGTAAAAGGAACTCCCTTGCTCTCGGCACTCAGCAGGAGCATGAATCATGGACTTCCAGGTGGTTTCTGGCAATAGCACAGACCACAGATATCCAGGTGGGCTCCAGTGTTAGCACAAGCCACAGACCTCAGCATGATCTCTGGTAGCAGTACAGATGACGGTCATCAACACAGCACTCTACTGCAGCACCATCTTAACCACCAGTGGTAACACACGCCAAGGACATCACCATGGCCCCAGATGGCACTCACATCATCACGGCTCCCAGCAGCAGCATGGCCCGTGGATATGAGCATGACTCAGCACAGACCATGAACATTTCTCTAGCTCCATGCTTTTAGTTTTGTTTGGGGGGGGGGGGAGGACAGGGGATGCTTGTCACCACTGACAGGGATGCAGAAACATCTAGAAGCATGACTCTTTAGGTCTGATTGACACATGGACCTCAACACTAGCATAGGAACAGTACCTTCCATCAGGACTGGGACAAATCTGAGCTCAAGTAAGCCAAGCCTGGGAGCCTGAAAAGTCTGAACCTGCA